AGCCTTTCCTATTCACCCTTGAAGACTGATGTTTTGAATTACAGAATTGAAATTTTTAATTCCAAAACAAAATACACAAACAAACAAAGCCTTGCAGTTGCAGAGAATCCTGAAACCAGGGAGCAAGAGAACATACCTGATTTGCAAATAACAAAAACTAAGTCTCAACAGCCTCCATTTCAGAAGAGCCTCTTCAAGGGTGTTCTCAGTGGCTGCAGGCTTACAGAACAAAATTCTATGTGTAATGCCAGAACTTAGTATAAAAAAAAACCCTGTAAGTCAATCCCTCTATGGATACACAAAATAAAATAGTTTTAAGGGGTCCACCCATTGCATTTTGGGAATGACTGATGTATTCATATTACAGTTAATTAATTAATACTAAACTACTTAAATACTGAGTAAGCTTATGACTATTAAGTAGTTATTAACTATTTAACTTTGAGCGTTAAATTTCATACATCTGAAATCTAGATGAAGCAGGATCATTTTCCTCAGTGCACCCTTTTCAAGCCTTTACAAAACTGTCCCTAAACCCCACTCAAAAGGTCTCTAAAATAATTAGGTTATGTGCAACATTATCACAAAAGTTAATCCATACAAGGTACTTTTAAGCAATCATGAACCTGCCATATCACAAGTACCAAAGGAAAAAAGCCACACTTTTCTAGAAAAAAAAAATCCAAACTGCGTGAGATTCCCATGTAAGGCATTTACTATAAATGAAATACTGAAAAAATAGCCTCCCTACCAAATTATTTATTCCATAAATCAACTATGAAATCCAGAAGAATGCAGACTCATGATCAGCATAAGCCAGTGATAACAGAGGCTGCAGCCTGAAGGACTGATACTATCCTCACAGTCTCCTTTGTGCCAGCCCCAGCTTTCCATCAGGGAACTCATTTATTTCAAAACTAATTGGTTTTGCGGGATTTTCATCAGCAGCAAAAGATAGAAGAAAAAAAAAAAAAGCCATTGGAAATATTTAAAGACATATTTAATCAACAGAGTGAAAAGGTACTGTTCTGTTGTCATTGTAGACCTCTGCTTACCTATCAAAACAGGAGAAATCTTCGTTATTTCATTATAGTTGTTATTTAAGTTAAAGGCATTCTATTAATCTTTTCTCATCATTTCACTCATCAATGAACAAACAATGACCTACAGAATCTATTCTCCATTAATCATAGTAATAGATAGTGAAAAAACCCCACTACACACACTAAAATATGGAGTACCTTGAGCAACACCTGGGTGGTTTTACACAGATGTAGAATCAGGAATACTTAATACCCCAAGCAGAGCACCAGCTCTGCACAGCCCCAACCTAGTGGCACAGTTCATCCATGCCTTTTTCATTAGTACATATTTGAGGTCAGCCATTAAACAGCATGTCTCTACACTCAGTCTCTTGAAGCATAAAATATGTAGCTCCTTACCACAATTTCATCAAACTATTGGTTGTATAAGACAACATCCTTTCCTTAAATAGTTGTGACTCTTACCAGGAGTGTGGAAGATTCAGAGTTACCAGTACTTTCACAAAACAGTCAATTCTAGAATACAATATATTAGCTTTCCTCCAATTTTTGATTATTTCTAAGAATGACCCTATGAATTCTACATGCCTGTGCTTTAAGAACTACATATAAAAATTAGGGTAGTATTAAGGAAAAAGTATATATGCATACTCCTTCAGCAGAGCTACATCAACTGTCTTGATACAACTTTAGCAACACTAGAGTTCAGCAAGACAAATCCAATACAGCCTAACTGCTCCAAGTTATGACAAAGACGTGCAAGTTTTGCCCGTTCTCCAAGTTTACACCTAAGTGCAAGAATTCACCAAGAATCAGTGAAAGTTCAACTGCAGAAAAGCTGTAGATGAAGGTGTATGGAACTGATGATCTGCAGATGTCCTAATATGGGACCTGAACACTACCAGTTATTCCAAGAAAACAGAAAGGGACTAAAGCTTTATGTTGCCTAAATTATATACACACTTGAAAAGCTGCCTCTTCATCCCTACTGCAACATGATATAAAGACAATGACTATTTTAAAAAAGAATCAGAACCAAACACTGAGGAACAAAAGAGCTGTGATCCTAACACTTGTTTTCACGAATAACTAAAGACATCTTCAGAAGGCTTCATGCAAGCTGATCTGACACAAGGAATCTTTTACCAAAATCAAAAGCATCCAGAGAAAATGTAGTATCACACAGTACTATGTTCAACTCTGTTGGTTATACAATGTTCCATGAGCCTGAAAGTGAGTAGGCTGGAAGGAAGGTCTGGGGATGGGAGTGACAATAAAAAAAGGATATAGTGAAAGGAGATAAAATATAGCAAGGCAAGGTTCAATTTTCAGTTCCAGGACACTAGTGGCTAGCAATAGCAGCAGACAGTGCCAATCATTTTTGTGTCCATATTCCCCAAATAGAGATCATTTTCCTCTCACGTAGGAGGGAAATCATGTTTCTACAGCTTGGATGGCGGGGCAAGTCAGGAGACTTAAACTCAATTTACGGCCTTACTGCCAGCATTCTGCTTTCTGATGTTTTACGCAAGTCACTTCATCACAGCATTCTGGTTTTCCTTCTCATCTTCCACATTCTGTCTTCTTCAAACACTAAATCCACCCTTTGGGGATTAGGTCTTACAACTCTGTGCTGCAATTAGCAAGAAGTTAGTACCCTGCACATGTAAGCTAACATTTATGAAGCTCAGGTACTATTAGAGATAGAAAATTAAAATACATCCCGTGTATATTAACTATGTCAGCTGCAAATGATGTGGTAGAGGAACATATGAAAGAAGAAACACTTTACACTAGGCCTAAAAGCCCAGAAGGCAAGGTGCAGGATCTTGAAAGCAACTAAACTACTCCTACTAGAGGTAGACAATCACATGATTTCCACAGACCCTTGAAGGTTGGCTTCCAAAAAGAGATCACCAGAAAAATCTTACTTTGAAGCAGCAAAAGCTGGACAACTTCAACAAACTGAAGTAAAAACAATTATAGCAGCTCTGATCATCCGAAGCTCAAAACAGGCTTAAAAGTAGAAGCCAGACAGTGAAAGCTGTGAAAAAAACACAGCATTCCCATGAGTTCTTCAGAAGATTGTTAACCTTGCCTCTCAATGACACCTTCAAACATGCAGCCCATGTTTCAAACATTTAATTTCTGCAGTTAGTCAAACAGCAAAACAGGAAAAGTATGCTGACACTAAAGTTAAGGACTGCCCATTAATATTATAGATTATTATGAACTGGTATTGTGGATGTTAAGATGAGCAACCAAAATTCTGTCTCTGTGCCAGTGAGTTTAAGATACCTTTCTGATATCATTCAGAACACCAAACATCCAAGTTGTTTGTGTAGAAGGCCCAGAAACATTAGATGTTTCAGATTCAGATAGAAGATCCATTCATTTGTTCTTGGAACAAAAAAAAAAAAAAAAAGCTTGCAACAAACATATAGTGAAAATGTTCATTTCATAAGATGAAATATGCCACCAAGTATGTTTCCTTAGGCAACAGAAACAAAAATTAATTCATGCTTGAAAGTTCTAAAGATAACATTTCACACAAAAAGTATATTTTAAACAAAACCACAGTAGCCATGTGAAAAGCTAATGAGTTTATAGGAACGTATGTCCATACTATACTGTAAAGTTTAGTATTACTTCATACTCAATATTTTTATTTTAAGGGTAGTCCAATCCATTTGCTACGAAGTTATGTCCCCTAACCAAGAGGTAGATATGATCCAGCCATGCACTCTTTGTATTCCGTTACACACGACTTCTGCAAGTCAACTATTCCTCCTAGTTGCATGAAACTAAAGGAGTGGTTTCTTTTTCATAAGTCCTGTAATGGCTGAGTGCTATTTTTCCTCTCCACTTGAAAACCTAGCCTTCTACGTTTCCCATTAAAGATCCACATATTAAAGGGGCTCCAAAGGAAGCTATTGGAAGACAGTAACATTTCCTAGAGCAAGGCAGAGTTTTAACACGAGATTTTTCTTTTTCTTAAATGAGTCAACTTCAGATCGAGTTATTTTTTTAGTCAGGTCAAATAAACCTTCTCAAGCCATTTCTACCTTTCAGTCCCTGAACTGCCTACATCTGCAAGTTCTTTCCTGTTGAAAGGAAAGTCATATAAGAATCTAAGTCGGCCCACTCAACATCGAATAGTCAATACAACTAAAGAAACACCCAGTTTTATTACGCTAACATCGGTATTAGCCATCTGGCAAAAACAGGAAGTAAAAACCACCTTGGACACATTCAATTGCGCTTCCCCAGGAGTATTCCCATCCTCAGCTGCCCTACAAGAATAGTTGCTGGCATAAGTGGACAAAGCCACCGTGTCAAGAAATTAAAATGGTATTACTGCTAACCATGGTTAAATATGATAAAAGGCAGTGCCTGAAACGGGTCGTCATGGAAGAGCCGTAACTACCAGTATTAAAACAAAAAGCCTTAACCCCCGTGCTTCCTTCCCTTTTCCCACTTTCCTCTCTCCTTCCGCAAAAAAAAAAAAAAAAAAGGGAAGCAAAGCATGAGAAGTAGCCTCCTCGGAGGCATCTCACCGAGGGAACAAGGGGGAATGGGAGGGAGAAGACAGGAGCCAGGGGAGTGGAGAAAAAAAAAAAAAGAGGGAGGAGTAACACCTCCCTGCCCATGGCCACGAAGAAGCTGAGACCTGGGGTTTAACACTTGCTGCAGAAGCTCCGTTCTCCCCGGGAGCCGGGGCGGGCTGCCCGGCCCGCCCTCCTTCGCTCTCTCCCTTCTTCCCCGGCTCGACAGGCCGAGGGCCCAGCCCCGCCGTCACCCCCTCAGCAGCCGCGCACCCGAGGGCGGCCTCCTCCTGCCGCGATCCCCCCCCCCCCCCCCCAACCGCCGCCCCCGAGGTGCCCCCCCCCCCCCGGCGCCCGAGGAAAGGCTGGAGCAGGCCCGGCGGCGGGGCGGCAGCAGCCGCGCCGGCCTCACCTTTTCGCAGCTCCCGTTCCCACACGCTGACGATGAGCGCCGAGTGCTTGCGGTGGTGGATGAGCCACAGGCTCAGGGTCTGCACGCTCTGCTGCGAGTTGCTCAGTTCCGACAGCTTCCGCTCCAGCGCCGCCTCCGAGAACGCCGACATCGCCGGGCCGGGACGGGCCGGGCCGCGCTTGGCTCGGCCCCGCCGCCGCCGCCGCCCGCCCTTCCCCCTCCCCCACCCCCACCGGCCCGGCCCGGCCGCGCTCAGTCCCCGCCTCTCCGCCCCGGCGGGGGAGGAGCCGAGCGAGCCCCGTCCCTTCCCGCCTCGCCGACCGCCACTTCCGCGCGCCCCGGCAGCCCTCCGCTAACAAAATGGCGGCGGCCGAACCTCCCGGAGCGCCGCCCGGCCACGCCCCCCTTCTCCTCCTTGCCTCACTTCCGGCACAGGCCCGCGGCGGGGCGGGGCGGGGCGGGGCGCGGGGGGGGGCCGGGGCGGGGCGCGGCCCTGTGGGCCCGACTGGTGTGGGGGCCCGAGTTGTGGACCCTTCTTACAACAGATCGGCTACATTAACGTTTTTCCCTGGGAAGTAACATAAATCGGACGCAAATAAGGCCCCGAGATAAGACGAGCCCACCAGTTTCTTTCACCTAGCGGGTTAAGGAGCTAGCTGTGACGCAGGGCGCATGGGGTTTCGCTGTTGGCAGGTGGGCGCGTGCTCCACAAGTGCGTCTGGCCTCATTTTTAAAAGCTGTGTCTTCGTTTCTGGCGTTGGCAGTATCATGTGACAGAATTCCACCGTTCGATGACAACATCTGCAAAAGTGGTTCCGCTTAGTTGTTTCAAACCTGTTCTCTTACAGCTTCACTGAGTCCTTGCTACTGCTGCTGTTCTGGAAATAGGGAATAAACACTGTTCTCTGCTCACCTTTGCATTCCTTCTGAGATTTTGTATTGTATCATCTTCAGTCATTTTTCAAGCTGAAGGATCCGAGTCATTGCTCCTCATGTGAAAGGTGCTCTATGCTGACAAACATGAGTAGCACTTCTAGTCTTAACATGAGCATCTGTACCCTTCCTGCTGCTCTTCTTAAAAACACCTGACATCACTTCTTATTTTAAACATTACCAACTATTTGACATTTTCAGAGAACTATCCACCTTAACTCCTACACCTCTATCCTGAATCCTATTTCTGTAGCTAACACTTATGACTGCAGTTAATAATTTTCTTGGTATTTTTAATATTTCTATAAAAATATGTATTAACTAGGAAAATATGCGTATTACTCATAGGACATCCAGGCAATGGTTAAGTATCCACCCTTAAAATGGAGTACTCCAATAACCCTTCACACATCCAGTTTGTCCTTACCAAACAGCAGAAAGCTAGTTATAAAAAAAAAAAAAAAAAAAAAAAAAAGCTGTAGGGTGTTTTTAAAACTTTACAAAGTTTTCTCTCTATTTCATGCCTGGCATTCAGAGAAGATGTCCCAAAGGATTGTTTTCAGGTGATTTTCCTAATACTGGTTCGTAGTGAAATCTTCCCTTTACACATAAAACATTGGTGACAGTGAGGTGGGAGTGTTAGGAGGTTTTAAGGCGAATTCTATTTACAAAATCACGTGTAGCATGGATGATTTGGGGGGAACTAGAAAGGATTTTGCAAAAATGCTTTTGACAGAGAAATTTCAGTGAGAAACTGCACGGATTCCTGCAGAGTATCTTCTATCAATTTGCTGCATTTTGATCATCATGCATGAAAGAACCTGTAATATATTGCCATTTTTGCTATGTACAGCAGAGGACGCTCTGGCATTAGGTAGAACTGGCCACTGAAGTAAAATTAAGACAGAACTAACATGAATTCAAGCATTAGGAAAATGAAATATGAATGGTAAACTAGTAACTAACATTCAAATACGATTTTCTGGAGGCATATATTCTGATGTTATCAGGAGAAACTTGTGGGCAATTATGGAAAAAGAAACATTTCTCTCACATACAAGACTAGCTTAAAAAGTAGCAACAAAGTGAAATTTAGATCCTAAAGCAAAAAAGATAAGGAATACGAGCAGGAAATTGGTAGAGAATTTTAGTAATGACTGTAGCAATGTTTATTACTGCTTCCTCTGCATCTTTCATCACAGATTATCAGAACATTTTACAAACAAGAATAAATCTTCTGAGATATGCATTTGTTCTGTAAATAAATATATTTAAACACCGTGTGATTTATCTTCTACGTATAATATATAATATACAGCAAGATTGAGATTTTACTTTCCCCATAAATCTTTATAGCACAATTCAAGTTTGTAATCGTAAATGTTTACATCGGTAATCTAATTTTAAAAGCCATGCTTATCCAGTCAGTGAATGGAAATTTACCACAAGACTTAATCAAAGTGAAGTGACTCTCAGACAGGAAGTATGCACAATGGAGGGTTCGTTTGCTGTGGAGCTTTGAAAACTTCAGCTTTCATTCAGAAACAATTCATACATTATTCACCTGCCTCTAAAGAATTCGCCCGCGTCAACAGGGGCGGAGTTGCCAACAGATGGCAAGTTTTCTTCCATCCGTTCCTGTGTTCAAACCGAAATAACATCTTTCCTCTGATTTCCTAAGAACAAAATGCTGCACTGCTTCCCTTCCGTCTGACCGCCGTGGGTTAGTGGTAGTGCACTGTATACTCCCGCTCCTGGAGAAAGGAACCCTGTGCGAGTGTAAGAGGATGACTGTGAATAAATTACTCAGTTGATGTTTTTGTAGAACGTGGGACTGGGAAGCTCTAAGTAGTTCAAAGATGTAATTACATTTCAGACCGCAGTCACCAAGAGGCTGTACAGCAGCATCCTTACACTTCATGTGCTGGTCGCAGATTTTTTTGTTTCTTTTTTCCCCTCACCCAAGGACATCCATATAAAACCTTTCATAAGAGGGGAATTTAACCCTAGTAACAATTGAAAGTTTTAAGTTCTTTTACTTTGAGGGAATCCCAGGAAGCGTTTAAGCACTAGAAGGGCTGATCTGTGTCTAAAATATCAGTGTTTATGGTGCATTGTGGGAAAGGTAAAAAACCCCAAAACTCATCAGTCTACATTCTTGCTTTTTTTATTTATTCCCCCTAGTCTCGTCCCCCCCCCCCCCCCCCCCCCCCCCCAAAAAAAATATCTGAGCATTTCTATTATCTAGTCTTAATTCAAAGAGAAGGCTTCCTTCCACTGAGGTGCTGGGGCACACAAAATCTTGACTCTACCGTAGGGCACTCTCAGAAAGAACTATTTCAGGCCAGACACCTGTATACGTGCTCTTTCTCTGCCTGAACCACTCCAGCTGATCACCAGAACATTGAACCCTGTTTCTTGGACTGCCCTTCAGCAAATCTAGCTGGGCTTAGCTCCTGGATATTCTTGGAGGCAGGATCAAAATGAAACTGCCACAGGACAGGAGCATGACTTTTTATCACTAGGCATTTTAAAGGCAAGGTAACAAAAGATAATACAGGTTTAGATATTTTCTCTGAAACTGGCAAGAAAAGGAAAAATTTTAAATGAGATCAGCATTAAGATAGATAAGGCAGGTTGTCTACGCTGAGTCTCTCTCTCTCTCATCTTTCAGATAGAGCCAAAGGAATAGGAAAGGTGACAGTTTGCGCTAGTTAACAGAGTGCCCAGAGAGGCAAAATGAGCAAAGCCCCGGTGAAACTGGCTGTTGTCTGTACTCCAGTGGTCACGTAGTTCAGTGTGAATTGGCTGCTGTTGCTCTACAGAGCAGCACTCTACCTGCCAAATCCAAGACGTATAGACCATGGTAAAAATAAACACCACCTGGCTACTTTGCTGTTCGTCGAGCTTACGTATCTCCTTTCATGTTTTGTTGATATGAACATGTCTTAGTCTCAGAGTCAATTTTAACTTTCATTGTTTCCTCCAGGGCACTCCATTCTGATACTCCCCCCAAACAGCTGTCGCCTTTAGAAGTCATTTGCTTTTGAAGCCCAGAGATGTAAGTGGATGATTTATTTATCTTTAGTAATACTCTGTGCTTCATTGGAATTGTTTAGGAACCCTTATTTTACACCACTACATAGATCAGTAAAACGGTCTAAACAACAGCAGTAAAACAACTAAACATTGCTCGTCAGCTATGTGGGATTTGAGCTGAAACCAGCTCTTGCATTGGAGCAGACCAGATCTTTCTCTGTATCAGGCTGGCCTTTGGTCATTTTTATCTGTTTTGTAGCTTTTTCTCAGATAGTCCCACCCAGGAGATGTAATAATATTAAAGGAGAAATTAGGTTTCTCTAGTCTTGTTTCTTGTCAGGGAATTTGTGTTAGTCAACATACCAATTGCTACCTGGATCTCAATATTACAATTCTGGCATATCAGTTCTTTTTTATTGTTCTAAGTGTCCGGTCCATGCAGTATAACAGTTTCTGAAGTTTCATACTTAAAAAAATTTTTCAGTTTGTCACAATATGCTTGTGCATCTCACGATCTAATTCTGTGTAAATGATCCTACTTCTGTATCCCAATAAAGGCATGAAAAATGGAGAAATGTGAAAAGATGACACTGAAATATAGCTGTATAATTATTCCTGACTGAGAGATGGTAAATCATCTGGGAAGTTTCTTCAGAAACATTAAACCCCATTAAACCTGTATAAGAGGGCATATCCCTGCCAGAAAATATAACTAACTAACTAAATGAACAAATAAATAAAAATTGAGTTTAATCACTGTGAAGTCCTGCAGGCAGAGAACAAAATAAAAGCTTAAATGGGGGGAAGAAGCCCACTGAAGTAACTTACAGGAGCTGCCTACTGGAGCCAAAAACCTCAGAGTGAATAATCATTCTTCTACATTAGTTCCTGCCCCTAAGCACTTCACCTTTTACTGTAATTCATTAAAGGCAGAAATCATTTGCTACTTAGGAGATTAACGAAAACCACTTACTGAGATATGTATATATAGTCCAGCAAGGCATTCCCATATTTTACGGAGAAAGATAGATTGTACAATCTAAAAAAAAAAAAAAAAATAAATCTCTAGTATTTCTGTGATTTCTTTAGCCCTCTGTGGAGATGTAAAGATGTTTGTAGAAAACCTTCCTTTTTCCCTAAGTCAGGCATTCAGCCAGACAGCTATGTACATCCGGCTTCTTCATCATTACGCTATTAACTGAAGTCATACTATGTAAACATACACTGTGATTAATATATGGATGCAATCAAGTCCCAGTTTTCCTTAGTAGAAAGATTGCTGTAACTATGCAAGAAAGCACTCCAGGGTATGTATTAAGTCAGGTGTGCAGAAAGGCATGAATCATTAGACTGAATAATTTTAAACATCTGAGCAATATATTAATGGATTATTAATATGTGCCCTAGAGTGTTTATAGC